ACGCTTGTGCTTGCAAGGCAGGCAGTGGAATCCCTGAGCCAAATCCCCGACCCTACTTTGCATGTTTCTTAACAGAGAATCTCTGATAGTTCAGAGCCATAGGCTGCGTAATCAGATTGCGTGGGTTCAGTCTCGGCTCCATGGTGAAGAACTCTCTGTAAGATCTTGGTCAGATTATCAACTTTTCTGTGCCGGAAGTTTTTCACTTGTAGAAAGGGGTTATAACCCCATCTGTTTTCTAGGACTACTATGAGGCATAAATAAATTGTGTACAGCACACAATGTTGGCCCAAAAAAAGGGCTCTGTAAATATTACCAGTTATGCTTATTAATGGTTCAGTTTAAATATCTTTTAAGATGTTTGAATACTATCATAATGGCTATGTTAGAGACAGGACATTGTATCACGTTTTTCTTGATGCATTTGATTTTAGCTCAGTGCTAAAGCATTGTGTGCCTGAATGTGTGTGATAAGGGATCATGTTCTAGTATCATTCTTTTTAAAAAATCTTTATTAAATTTATAAAGTTTATTGGTACATTTTAGGTATACAATACAGTTACATTCATCATTGGGATCTTGTACCTTTACATGACTTATCTTGGTTCTTATTTTTCCCCATTCCCCTGCCCTCTTCAGCCCCTCCACCCTTCCCCGTTTACAAAGACATTCTTTCCATGTTTTTCCTTTTCACATATGTTTCTTTTCCCTTTTTACCTTCCTCCTACCCCTCCCACTTCCTCTATTCTTTTAGACTTTTCTTCCTATTACATAGTATCAATTATACATTTTGATCCTTATTTACATTCCTACTTTTTCACAGCAGAAAAACTATTTGGTAATTGCACGTGTGACTTATTAATTTCTCTTAAGACTGTGGCCTCAATGTGTGCCCACTTAGTTATAGCATCATTCTTAAGGAATAATGTATCTGTCCTCTGCTGGGTGATGAGCTGTAGGGACCTGTGACAATCGAATGCCTCTGGAATGTGTTGGAATCTCTGGTTTGAGATGGTGGCAGTGGTGGGAATCTCCAGTCAGAGCTGAGAGTGTCGAACTGACGTGAAAAGGCTGCTGAATTTCTCCAGCCAATGCCACACATTCCACATGTAAAAAGGATTCCAGACTTTTAAGACTGTGGCTGGAATTGAGTTTGCCTGCAGGTTCTGTGCCTTGGAACCTGTTGAGAGGTTTTGGTTGTAGGATCCAGCATCTTCTTTTCCAGCAAGTTTGGCTGTCATGAGAGAAATTCCAGACTCTTTTTATCTTTTTCTCCCAAGCCCAAAACTCAGGGTTTTGAGTGTGAACTCATTGGAGGTGACAAGAGCACTATGGAGAGGAAACAGCTCTTTTCATTCTGCCATCAAGGTTCAGCCGTGTTTTGGGGTGCCTTTCTCTTATCACAGTGATTCAGGCCTTAGAGCTCCCACCTGAGGATGTTTAGCCTGTTTCTGGCGGCTCCAAGGAGCCCACCTCTGGGAGAACTTGAATGTGCTGAAAAAGCTTGGTAAATTATTCACAGGTGATACTAACTCTGGAGACAAGGTAAATTTGAGAAATGCATCCACAGTTTACCCGTCCTCCAACACTCAGTGTGCTTTACTTTCTGATTTCTCCCCATCTTTTATTTTTTGTACATAGCTGATTGGGAGTCTGAGAAACATGGTGCTTGTTGATCTCAGAGACCACGTTTTCAGTGTTCATAGGCAGAAGGGACTTGGAAGGCTACTGGAGCTCAAGAATCTGCCTGCACAGGGGGGAAAGACCCATCCCCTCCAGCTCTGTCCCTGGATAGTAAAGTCCCTCAAGGGAGTGTGGAAGAGGAGATGCCCAAGCGGCATGGGGTCCCTGCCTCTGGTGTATTTGGTGTATTTGGGGGTGTGTGGATTGTGGTTGGGGAAGAGATGGGCGGTAGATAACGCCCTGTGGAGAAGGGCTGAGGAACAAGGTCACCATTGCCTGAGTTGGGGCAAGGCAGGTCAAGCACAGGTCCTGTACTCCCAGCCCAGGAGTTAGGAGCAGCTAACTCGGGGGTGTGGGAAGGCAAGGCAGACCGGGGCAGTGACAGGCCCTGGCCAGCAAGGCTGGTCCTCGTTCACACAGGAACGCTGCATCTTGATGGCTCTGGCCCTCAGGCCTGGTGCGGAGGTGGGGGGCCCGGTCCTCACAGCATTAAGGAGCTGGGACCCCTCTTGGTAATGATGGGGACGTGGCAGTGAAGCGCTCTCTGCTCAGATGTTGAAAAGAAGGTCATCATTTCCCCTTCTCGGTTCTTACTCTTGCTTTAACTTTTCCTTTTGAGTCTAGATGAAATGATTTTACTGTTTGCCAGGATGAGCCTGTGGAGCAGAGGTCTGTGTCAAAGGCAAGTTTTAGCCAGGCATGGTTGTGCACCCCTGTAATTCCAGCACTCTGGGAAGCTGAGACAGGAGGATCTCAAGTTTGTGTCCAGCCCAGGCAACTTAGGGAGACCCTGTATTAAAAAATAAAGGGTCAGGCATGATGGCATACACCTGCAATCCCAGCACTCGGGAGGTTGAGGCAGGAGGATCCCTACAAGTTTGAGGCCAGCCAATGCTACATAGCGAGACCTTGTCTTAATAAAATAAAATAGGGCTAGGGATGTTGCTGAGTGCAAAGACCCTGAATTCAGTTCCCCCTGTACTGCTATCATGTGTATGTTTGTTTGTTTGTTGTGTGTGTTCCTCTAATTCTCTTGTACTATACTTTGGCTGTAACTTTTACCCATCAGCATGAATGAGCTGCTGACCCCTACCATACCCAGCCTTTTCGGCATTGCGCTCTCTCCTGGGCTTTGGGGGCTGACTGCTGTTGTGCTGTAGGCCCTCTGCCTCCTCGAGAGCATACGCTTGCGTCTGCGTTTAGATCCTGAAGTTTGGGTCCTTAGAGAGACCATGTCAGGTCGATGGGGTGGCGGGATGCAAGGGCCATCGGTGCAGACAGGCTGCCTGGAAGGATGCCAGCCTGGGGAAGGGAAGTACTGTGAGTAGGTCAGGCAGCGAGGTATGTGGGGGTGACTAAAAGGCATGGGCAAGTGAGTGTGGATACACGTGGGTACATGTGCACTGAGAAGTGTGTGTTGGGGTGGATGTGTGAGTGGCATTTGTCCAAGTGTGCTCGAGTGAGTTTGTGAGTATGGGTGTGGACCTATGAGTGTGCCACTGTGAGTGTGTGTGATACCTGAGTGTGAGATGCATGTGCTTCTGGGTACCAATGTGGCTGCACACGTGCAGGTGCGAGTGTACACGAGTGCACAGAGGTGTGGCTTTTTTGATTCTTCCCTTCATTTTCTCTTTTCTCCCATTGCATTCTGAGGGTTTTGTTTTTTATTGTGAAGAGAATGCTGTCTTTACACAGTTCTACACAGCAGTGTAATTGCACACCGCAGCTCAAAAATGCTAATTGATAAGATACTTTATATAACAGAACCTTAGGAAGCAGTGGTTGCCTAGATTTAGCAGAAGGGATTGGGAGATGATAGCTAGTACGGAGATGTTTTGTTTTGAGATAACAAAAATGAAGGGGAAAAAAACCCCAATTGAAAATAGAGCTGCCCTCTGATCTGGCTGTACCACTAGTTGGTATACACCAGAAGGAATCAAAGTCAGCATACTATAGGGATACCCGTATACCCATTCAGTGCAGCACAATTCACAATAGCCAACATAGGGACCAGCTTAGGTGCCCATCAGTAGATGAATGGCTAAAGAAAACATGGTGTGTATATACAGAATGGAGTATTATTCAGTAGTGAAGAAAATGGAATTATACCATCTGTAGGAAGATGGATGGGTTTGTTGGTTATCATGTTAAGTGAAATAAGGTATACTCAGGCAAATATTGTATCTTTTCGCTAAAATGTGGAACCCAAAAATGACACTAAAGTAGAAGGGAGACTATTATCAGACAAATGGAAATAGTGGGGAGTAAAGGAAGGTAATGGGAGATGGAAAAAACGTTATTTGGAGCTAAGAGATCATGATAATTTATTGAGGTACAAAGCTGTCCGCTCTGAAGTAGAAGCTCACAAAACAGTACATAAGGCATTGCCATTTTTTTATTTTAAAAAGTGCATTTATACATAGAGCTATCAAGAAATTGTGTAGCGTGTTCATTGAATTGTTTTAATCTGTCTCTGGGAGAGAGATGATGAGCACGTTTTCCTTTTAATAGTTCTTTTGATTGGAGCGATTATAAAATGTTTCTAAGTGGAAAAAAATTAAGAATTGCTGTAGGTATGTGAGGTGATATGTTAATTAGTTTGATTGTAACAATCATTTTTCAGTATATATGTATCTTAAAAAACACAATGTGGTATGCCTTCAATATGTGTGATTTTATTTGTCAGATTCAATAAAAAGTGAGTTAAAAAAAAAGAATCTTAGGAGCTATATTTGTCTTTTTCCTTTCTCTCCAAGAGAAAATCTTTAAGAATGTTTTGGGATTGTTATCTAGAGACTTGGCTTAATGAAGCCTAATCCAGAAATATGCCTAATTTCCTTTTGAGAAGGAAAGCTGTGCTTTCAGATATAGCTGCAGGCTGCACATGGCAGTGCCCAACAGAGCCGTGACCCTGTGGCAAACCAAATTTCATTTTTTTCCTCTCTGTAATGGTAATTAGATGATATCCACTGTTCCTCTCCTAATAATATAAAATTTTAACTGTATTAAGTAAAGGTGAATTATTAGTGACCTTCTTAGTGCACATGACTCAAACTTGTGGATTTGCATTTAAAGTATTTTAGGAAGTATCAGAAATGTTTTTTTTTTTTTTTCCCCCAATCTGAGGCAAGATATAGAATTAAGATACCAGTTTGAAATGGGCAGTATATTGTATCATTCATGTATCTCTGTATCCTGCCTAATGTGACAGGACATTCTGCCATCCTTCCTGAAAAAATAAAACAGCAGTCCATTCATTTCCTTGAGTGGGCTTCTGAATTCTGTCGTTTAGTGCTGTGTCGTTACTTGTTTGCCAGGTTGCACTTGGGAAGGTGAGCTGCCAGGCTCGGATGGCTGGGCTGGTGGGGGCAGCAGGCGGAGAGAAGGAGAGAAGGTAATGTCTGCCTTTTCTCCACTGTGGTCAGTGGCAGAGAGTGAGTGGAGAAACTGAGGAAGTTGAGGGCATTGACCTTTGCTTTGAAAATGTATCCCCTTCTTTTTGTACTTCTCCTGGTGGGTGTAAAAGTGGCATGCGCACTAGTGGGAAGGCTAGATTAATGCTCTGATTGCTGCCAGCAGTGTGTGCACAGCTCTAGTCATGAGGACATTAAACATAGGTCAGCTTGAACATTTCCTCCTAAAAGAAAGGTGATCTCCCCTTACCTTCCTAATTTGACCACTGGCAGCTCAGAAATTACCCTGGTTCTTCTTTTGTTGGAGGTTGGTTTTTGCCCCATCTCAGAGAGTAGGTAGAAGGACAGGAAAATAGAAAAAGAATGTTATGTGCATTTGTTAATGTCACACTAGCTGCCGTGCCAGGCCTTGACCCCAGGGACCCGTCATCCATGTGGCCATCTGGTCTGATGGGCTCTGTCCCAGCAGGGCATTCTCTGCCAAGTGGTGACTCAGTGACCAAGGGGCACCTTCTCTGTGGGTTTGCTGGTGTCCACTGTCACGCTCCCAGACAGCACGTGGGAGGGCTGGTCAGTGAGTGTGTATTTATGGGCCAGGCCTGCATCACCTGGGTTCACATTCTGTTGGCTCAGCCTTTCAGCAGCTGTAGCCTCTGATACTGTTGGGTTAGTTCTGGTGATAATACATTTTTGTGTCTTGATTCATCCGTGCTAATTGTGAGAACCGGAAGTGTATGGTAGTGACTTGAGAGAGAGGCGAGAAAGAGAGACGTAAAATAATCTTGGCCAGGCCGTCTGGAATATTAAAAATAACCCAAAGTGGAAGGTTTCTTAGTGGGGTGGAAGCTGTGGAGGTTGAGGTGGCCCAGTCATGTGCTGATGAGCTGGCTGCTCCTGGGGATCCGGGCAGGGAGAGGGAGAGGGGGATCCACCTCTGTTTCCTGGGTGAGGGGCTGCAACACTGTGAGCTCTTTTGGAGCAGGGAGGTTTGAGGAATAAAAAGTACCTAGGTAGATGCCGGAGGGGAATGTGGAGAGAGAGAGAGACAAGGGAAGAAGACTTGAACGAGATTAGAGAAGTGTTTGTGACTCTTGCAGTGGCTGAAACGTGGACAGTAGGTGCCCAGGAGCAGGGCTTGGATTTCAAACTTCTTTCCACCTTAGGCTACCTGTAAAATGGGCACAATGTTTGTCTGTTAGTTTCTGGTCAGGGTAAATTAGGTGGAGAGTTTATAAACTCTATCGATGGTGCTTCTAGGTTAAAGTAAGTACCTAACAGTTTCCTAAATAAACTTCATACATATTTATGCCCTAAGAACTCTGTATTCAATTGAAAAAAATATCAACTGAAAGAATGGAATTTGCGCATCTATGGGTACTGCACAGCTTCTCAAATCTGGAAATCATGTGAGACATTGTTGCTCTCTTCCAGTTCTACATTGTGAGTGTGTGTGTGTGCATGTGCATATTAAACCCAGGGCCTCACGCATGTGAGGTACGTGCTGCACCACTGAGCTACATCCGTAGCCCATGATGTATGTTTTTGTCACAGTCCTGCTGTAATCGTTTGCACAGACTGTCTTTGAAGGAATGTAGTCTATCTTCTACTGAATCCGTGAAAGTGACCCGAGTCGGTGGACAGCATCTGGCATATGTATGTATATGTTCAGTCTTACATGTGCCCCTCAAAAGTGTGGAATATTTTACAGCACTTCTTTGAGGTCACTGTATGATCCAGGCACCTGGCACATGAGAATAGGTCTTACTCCTTCATTTATTAACATCTGAGTAGTAATGAACTGTCAGGCGTCTTTTCGGTACTGAGGGAACACAGGTTCTGTCTCCCCTGAGTGTAGGGTCTGGTGGGGCAACCAGATGTTAAATGAGAATCGGCCACACAAATAGAGACTTCCCCTGTGGTCAGTGTCACGAAGGTGAGTTCCGGGGTGCTTTGAGGAGGAGAAATGTTAGATCTGCTTAGGAATGTTAACATGGCAAGAAGTGGAATCCATATGCTAGGCTGGTGTAGGTATTTCTCAACCTGCCTGTGGTAAAGGACCTCCTTCCGATTGCATTGTGACTAGTTGTAGCTCGTGTGTGCTGTGTTTGACATCTGAGCTCTTTATAAGTCCAACTGATTGACAGTTGGATGTTGAAACAAAGCCAGACACAAGAAGAGTTTCAAAAGGCTGTTGAGGACCAGTGTCAGTTTGTGTGGACCATCAGAATTTGTGGACTACATTTTGAGTAACTGCTGCAGACGGGAGGAACAGCACATGTGGAGATGACTGTGGCAAAAAGCAACTTGGTGACTAGGAAGGAAGTGAGAAAAGGTGGGTGTGGTGGGGCATAAAGTGAGAAGCAGAAAAATCAGCAGGTACTGTACTGGTGTAGGCCACTCGAAGAATTTGAATCTCCATTGAAGACATTTCCATCCCGGTGGTGAAGAATTTCTGCCGAACACTTCATGGTGATAGCCTGCGAGTATAAGTAGGCTGAACATTCAGCTCCAAAGATTCATTGTGTGATTTAGGCAATCTGTAGTTCTTCTTTGACCTTGGCTGTCCTTTGTGCAAGAGCCTATTAGGAACGGCTTGCCACAGGATGTCCAGTGACTGCAGAAGCACCCCCAGCTCCCTGGCAGATGGTGCCAGCTGCTCAGACTTCTCATGGCACTTACGCTACTACTCGAAAGCTGGAGGCCCACTTGCAGCTGCTACCTGGGGGTAGATCCATCTCTCTCGGGCCTGCCGAGTTTCAGCTGTTCTGGTGCCATCACGAGGAGCAGACCAGGACAGGCTGTGTGGCAAGGCTTCTGTTAGTCCCCTGCCATTTGGATATTTAGGTGTTAGGCACTGTACCACATCCAGAATGCTCCTGACCTTGCCTACCACGGCCTGTTGTAAGATCCATTCGGACTTAAGAATCCAGCGTGCTCTCCTTTTTCAGGCTGACTTCTGTGGGGCCGAGGGAGGAAGGTTTGGCCTCCAGCTCATGGATCCCAGAGCATTAATGACAACTTCAGGATGGCTTTACTTCCCTGCTTTGCTATATGGAGTAGGCTGGGAGAGGAAAATGACTCGCTGTGGTTTCTCTGTGCAGGTACTTTGTGCTGGATTTTGAGGCTGGCATCCTGCAGTATTTTGTGAATGAGCAGAGCAAACACCAGAAGCCTCGAGGAGCCCTGTGTTTGTCTGGAGCCATAGTGTCCCTGAGTGACGAAGCTCCCCACATGCTGGTCGTGTACTCTGCTAGCGGAGAGATGTATAAACTGAGAGGTACGTTCCGCTCCTGGTGACTTTTCATTTGGGTCTAGTGGGCTGCTTTATAGTTGCAGTAGCGATGACTCTCCTGTTTTTGTTTTTTTTTACTTTCTCTAAAATCACCTTTAACAAATTGACTGGAGAACTCTGGTGGCAGTCACTGCTTTTCTTTCCCCAGCAGTGGGGAGGTGGTGCTGACCTCAGGAAATAAGGAATTAAGTACAAATGAAAGGTAGTGACTGTAAAGGTGGCTGAGCCTTGGGACCTCTGAGGATTTTTATTCACTTAGTATCTGTTTCCTTTGACCTTATAGCATAAACCTTTATTCCAGTGCTCTGTGGGCGAATTTGCTATAGGGGAATAAAACACTTTAAGGACTCTATTTCCTTCTCCCAAAGTCTCTCTGACATGTCCAGAGGGGATGCCCCATGCCCTTATTGTGTTGTTTTGTTTAAATGTTATAGTATAAAAAATCAAGGACGTTTTGCTGCTTGTGTGTGGTAACTATATTATAGAATTTATAATAATTCTTCTTCACTCTTTGTAGTTCACGCAAGGCAGAGGTTTGGGCACTCATGCTCGGAACCTTCTCTTAGTACAAGACTTTTTATTCAAGTCCTAGCTAATCCATTGTAGTCCTAGAGCCTGTGGAGAAGCCAACAGGTGTTACTTTCCCTTTGTATGTTTTCTGTCCTCTCTGCCTCTGGGAAGCCTCTGTGCTCTGAAGTGAGGATGACTGTGGAGGGTTAGTGGGAATGTCGAGGGAGATTCACCTTGGAGTGTCCATTGCACAGTGACTGTGGTGTGTAGTTTGTTTGACCATTCAAGCAGGTGTCTCTGATGTCTCAGAAATCCAAATGCACATACACACACTCAGGCACTCACACAAGTCAGTGTTGTTTACTAAGGGCTGAAGTGTGAACAGTGTATTAGATATTGAGAGGAGTGGGTAGTTCAGCCTTCTTGTAGAACCTTGACTAAGTAGGAGTGAAAGACGGGGAGATGACCCCTTATCTGTCTGTGGTCATGGCAGGTGGCCTCTGCCAAGCCAGACTGAGGGCCTGGGTTCCCACCTACTGATCCAATTTCACTTCTCTACTGCCAGGCTTTACTATGTAGGAGAATGGAATAAGCTAGATTTTTTTTTTTTGTCTATGTACAAAATCCTATTTCAGAATCTATAAAGCAATCCAAAACCCTATGAAATAAAACTGCCTGTAGTTGTAAGTTTTTTGGTTTTTCAGAAATGTGCTAAGATTCATGTTCTTTTGAGATTCATGCAGCGTGCATTCCAGCTGGCTAGATTTATATGGGCCTCAGCTTCACTTTGCCATTTATTGCTTAAGAAATTAAGAGGAGAAACAATAGCAGGTGAAAAATTTAGTGGCAGGTCCCCCCTGCTTGCAGTTTATAAAATAACATAAACCCACACAAAAGAAAAATCCAACTAATTTGACAACTGAGCCATCTTGCTTTGCTGTAGCGTTATTAATATTCTGTGGATTATTAAAGCCCAGGTTTTTTTAAAGGATAATTTTAACAGCAAATGTGAAAGTTTTATTACCTGTGTGAAGTAGTCCCAGTTGCTAAATTTAGCACTTAACTAGGAAAGAGGCTGGGTAGATTTCCGCATGTTTGTAACTTAGCCTCAGCCCATCCCACCAGGAGTTTTTTCATTTCCTGTGTATCTGTCTGTTGTGGAATTGGAACGTGACATCATGGATACTCAGTTTTGGGGAATCTTTCCACTGCTGAGCCTTTGGATAGTAATTTTTTTCTTTGCAATTGAATTTCACCTAGTCTTATGCTATTTATGTTATCTGTGGAACAAGCCTCCGGAGAAATAATTTTGTCCTATTTGAAAGGGGCCATCTCCATCCCTTAAACAAGACTAGCCAAAGAATTTTTTACCCTGTGACTCTAGACTTCTTAACCTGGAAATTCATGCTGAAGTTGGGCTTTATTAACAAATGCATAGGCTCATTTTTAAAAACAAATAGGAAAGGGAGGGCAGGGACAAGGGGAAAAAATGAGAATCAAGGCCTGTCATGTAAAGGTACAAGATCCCAATATTGAATGTAACTGTACTGTATGCCAAAAATGTACCAGTAAACTCAATTAAAAACAAATAGGAATCATTTAAAACAAATGGGAATCCTTTTTTTCACATAGAAAACATTTATGCAGTTAATATCATAGGACAATATTGATGTGATTATTAATGCAGTTCATTTGATTTAGATTTTATTAGAAATTGCTGTATGCCGATATTTTTTGTTTTCTTTTTTTTGTGGTGCTAGGGTCGAACCCAGGACTTTCACCCTAAGCTACATCCCCAGCCTTCTCCCTGTCTCCCTCCCTCCAGTTTTGAGACAGAGCCTCATTGAGTTGCTTAGACTAGGCTTGAACTTGAAATTCTCCTACCTCAAGAAGATTTATCTGTATTAGTTAGAGATGAAGTGTAGATGTGAAATGGTGGCCCTGCAGTTGATTCATATCTTAGTGTCTCTGGGGGGATTGGGTGTCTTGTTTTCTCCAGCTGAATCATATGAATACTTGGGAACACATATTACCATGGAAATTCAACTGAGCCTTGAAAACTGTTCTCTGATCCCCATAGCAGCCACACCAGATAAAGGCATTTGAAAATAATCACATTTATTTCCCTACTGCCCTTTTAAAGAAGTAGAAATGACTTTCAGAGGAGGCTGAAAAAATGGTGAAATCATTCTTGTAACACATTTCAGAATAAATTCTTAATATGGCCTAAGAGGGAGTTTTGTGGGATTCAGTGTGACTTGGTGGTTTTCTTTCCCCTCCCTTCCTTCTTTTTTTTCCCTTTGTACTGAAGATTAACCCAAGGGTGCTCTACCACTGAGCTATCTCCCCAGCCCTGTTTAAAATTTGGAGACAGGGTCTCACTGAGTTGCCCAGGGTGGCTTTGAACTTGCAGTCCTCCTGCCTCAGCCTCTTGAATAGCTGGGCTATCGGGGCTGCACTACTACCCTGGGCTGTGATTTGGTTCAGGCCACTTGGGAATACTGATCTACATTTGCTTTTCCCTGACTTCTCCCTGTACCTCTCGATGCCTGAACCCCTCACCCCCTGGTGTAGGAGTAAGTTGAATGTGTTTTGGAACAATCTCTACAAGTGTTTCTTTCTAATTTCTCTATTTTAGCTGCTGATGCAAGAGAGAAACAGTTTTGGGTGACTCAGCTCCGAGCTTGTGCCAAATACCACATGGAAACGAATTCGAAGGTGAGTAAGGGGTAAGGTAGGAGGCCTCTGAGTCACCTGGTCGGCTACTCCCAGCCTAATTATCTATGTCTTTGGGGAAGATGTTTTCCATGTTATTTTTAAGTCATCCACTGTAATGGAATTCATTCTTGTCCTGCCACATTCAAATTTAAAGCTTGGTCAAAGAAACAGGATTTTGGTATAGACGGAACACAGGCACACAGACACTATTCTAGAAAGACACTTTTATTGCTTTCTGTAGTCAATTTAGGTGGCTGTTAATTGGCCTGTTGAGAAGCTTGAGTGGGTGATTTCACTGTGGAGTCGGAGTGGTCAGATTTACACTTCTTGAAGACTAGGTGCCACTGGTCCTTAAATAAAACTAAGACCTCATATTGATTATGTCCCCTGCTAGGAGAATCCTGCATTCTAAGAGTGTAAGAACGTTCTTGGGTACTTTGGCTTCCAAGTGTGATTTTTTGGGGGATCTTGAGAGATCTGTGTTAGATGTGCAGGAGGAAGAGGAGGTGGGCGTTTATGGAGATTACCATGGAAGATGTCCAGTTACAAAAGTACAGGACATTATTACAACATGCGTTTATCCAGAGCGATATTTGTTAAAATTAATGCTCAAATAGCTACCCTTATTATGAGTTCAAATTTAGTTACTGTGTCCAGTTGTTGTCTTTTCCTGTATTACATACATCTGGTAGATGGATCCATACTTTAAACTTTTAATGATTCCGTATACTATAACTTGCTTGCTTGCTAGCGTAGGCCTATAAAATCTTAAATTACTTTGCTGCTCTGTCTCCTAATACAACCTGAAATGATTTCTTCAGAATGACTTTTTTTAAAAAAAATGAGACACCCCCTTGTGCTTGGTTTGGGGTTGACAGTTGTGGGTGACAGAATCACCCACAATGCCCTTCTTGACTTTGCCCCCGTTGAATCTTCAATGACTAGAGGGAGAACCCTTCTTCTATAATTGTTCTCCCTTAGACCTTGTTTATTTTCTAGGAATCATAGGAGTTCTGGATGTTTCATCAGTTTCTTTCTACAAAGCAAAGTGGAGCAATTTGGTTTTTTCCCCTTATATGTGTCTTTTTAATTTTTTGTTTTTATACAGTAAAGGATAAAGCAGAAAGGAACTAGCCCTATGTATTGCTAACCGTTCTTGTTAGAGATAATTGCCCTTGTATACCAGTCTAGTGAATTTAGCTGTATAGTCTAGTCTGTATTTGGGTGTGTGTATCTGTCTGTACCTATCTAGTTTTTTTTGGTTATCAGTGGTACTATATCATGTACAGTTTTTTTTTTTTCCACTTATATGATACTTTAGAGATCTTACCACAGCTGGGTAGTGCTCTGGGGCGTGGATGTCTGTCCTTTAAGTCCTCTCTTGTTGGGGCATTTGTGTTTGTGTCCTTTTTGTTATATGTAATGCTGTGATCTCTTCATTACATATATACATTTTTGTACCTACAGGATGAATATATCTCAGTGGAATTGCTGAATCATAGAATATGTGTCTTTTGGATTTTCATAGACACTGCTAAAGTGTCTTAAGAAGTTGCTTTAGTTTGAACTTCTACCAATTCTGCATTGATTTTTTTTGGGGGGGTAGTGGGGCTCAAACTTAGGACCTTGTGCTTGTGAGGCAGGTACCACTGAGCTAAATTACCAGCTCTGATTGTTTTCTTTTAATGAATCACTGGGGAGAAGAAAAGTGAAGTCATCCTACTGGTAGTGAGAAAGAAGACTTATGAAGGGAGAACTTTTATTTTTATTTTTATGTCCTCTGGTTAGTTTTAGGCATATGGATTAATAATAGAACCAAAATAATTGGGCATTTCGGCCTGTAGGATTCCTCATTGGAAGTTGCTGCTGCTACTCTCTTAGCTATATCCTAGCCAGTATCATCAGGTAGGGAGTAAGACATTTACAATGTGAACAGATCTTGTTCAGCTAAAGCATTATGAAGTCTAAGGCTGCTTAGGCAAAAGTAGTAAAAATGAAGTTGGACTTAACAGGAATGGAAACTTGGCATCCAGTTAACTGTAGGATCATTGTTTGATTAGCGTCGCAGTTGTTAGGAGTATGTGCTGTCTTCTCTTTACTGTTTCTCCTCAGTCTCTCAGCAAACTAGATCCTTCCCAATAGACTGTAGAGAATACTCCCCCTACAGCTACTAGGAACTCCACCTGTTAAAGACTTTGTACTTCCAATCAAGTGTTTCTTGGAACAAAGATTAGGAAGATGAGATGCTAGCAGCATTCCAACTCACTTTAGTTAGAACTGCAGGAAAACAAAACCATAAAACTTCAGTCAGAGTGGATAAAGGCTTTAAAGATAGCAAGTCCAGTGGTTCTGAAATCCTGACCTGCTTTAATCACTTCCTGGTGAAGTTTTCCCCATCCTAGAAGTAAAATGAGAAAAGAGGAATTGTTCCCAAAGATACCTTTATTTAATATGTGATTAATGAGACTACTCTATTTTCAGAAATTGAATTGGTTAGCTTATGGAAGATTAAATACTCTTTTTCATTATAGAAGGTGTTGAGTGCTGACCAATTTCTTTTTAAAAATTCAGTTTTATTGAGGTATAATTTTTATGCAGTAAAACTGACTCTTTTAAGTGTAAAATTGAATTTAGGCAAATGTATAGTCATGCAGCCACCACTATAATCACCCCCCCCCGAATTTTCATTACCCTGATATGGTCAGTCCCCCCCGCAACTGATACTAAGTAGTAAAACTCCCAACCTGTTAGATATCAGATATGCTGAGTTTGTGCTCCTCAGAACTGAACAATGGAAGAGTAAGAAAAATTTATTGAGAGCTCCTGAGAGACAGGAGGGGACCCGAAAGTGGGTTGCCGAAGAGCCCACTTAAAGGAAGGTTTATAGAGCAAAATCACAAGGTCGGTACAAAATCATGAGGTGGGTACAACGTGAGCCAAGACTGATCGATAAGATAAATATAGCTGTTTAGGTAATATTGATCCGGTGGGGAAGCAGCTCATGTAGCAGGTGTATATGGAAAAAACAAAGACTTTTAGGAAGGGACGGATCAGGAGGTCTTGGTTACCCACTGGGGTGACTGATACCTGTCTAGACTTTGTTGGATTAGGTGATCCACTTATCCCTTGGGGAGACATGGAGGCTTGGTCATTCCTTCCTTATCTGAGGCCTGGCCCTCAACAGATGCGTCTCTAGCCACAGTTGTAATGGGTTCTCATACTCTGCACTGACTCCTTTCAGGACCTAACCTTGTCTGATGCCTGTAATATTTCTACCTAATTTAGCTGTCTATAATACATCTGTAACCACTGACTGATCCCCTGGCTGTAGTTTTGCTTTTTCTAGAATGTTCTATATCAATAGAATCACACAACTTCTTATAACAGACTTCTTTCATTTTCATAAATGCTTTTGAATTCCATCCATGCTATGTATATCGATAGTTGAGTCTTTTACATTTTTGCTATTTTAGTGGGTATGTGGCAAATTTTCTTGCTTTTTTTAAAAAATAAAAATCACAAGTGGATGATCCTAAATCAATTCCCAGACTTAAAATGTGTTGGCATTTGAAATCTAAAGATCTGGCTATAAGCCTAGCCCCCTGTTTACACAGGAGGAAACTCCAAACAGAAAGCTAGGGAGCTGAACTTGGATCTCTTGGTTTCTTGCTCTTGCTTTTACCTGCCAGATGGAAGTTAAGGCCACCATATGCTTCCTCTGCAGGTGGTGGGGTCCATTTTAGGATAGTTTGTTTTTGGATAGACAGGAGCGGGCAAACAGTGGAGAACCTCCCATTTTTTGATGTCACATTGGTTTAAACTGTGACCTTTGGTGTCATTTGAGGTGGAGTTTCCAAGGTGCAGGATTGGTGTCCTGGAAAGAATAGAAGACTGACTTTCAGCAAAGAAGCATCCTGGTTTTAATGCAGGGTAACCATTAAAGCAGTATGGAGCACTGCAGGGCTGGGAAGATGTTGAGAGAGACCAATGAGGACTGTTCTCAGAAGGATTTACTGGTATGACTTTGAAAGTGTCAGAGCAGGAGCGTGGGTGGTTTTGTGTCTTCATCATGTGGGTTCTGTTAGGAAACTCCCAGGATAGGGATGGCAGTGCTGTGGGAATTGGATAAGCACTGAGGATGGGGCAGGCACTGACTGTTGGCAGAAGTAATGATAGTTAATACCTTGTATTTGTGCCTCTAGGATTTCATTACTCTTTACTGTGGCCTTGTGAGATCAGTAGTATTATCTTCATTTTTATGAGTTAAAAGACTGAGGCTGCCTGGACTTAGATAATGGGCTTGAAGTCACCTGAGTGAGAAGTGATGGAGCTGGATAAGCACTTACCCTCACCTCCAGTCTCCTAGTTTCTTGACAGATACCAATTAGAATGGTTCATCCCTTTTCCCCCCACCATGAACCCCATACTTTTGTCCATTGTGGAGGGGACAGCTCTGTAATATAATGTTTTGACATTTCTATATAATCAGTCAAAGGAACCCTTCATAAGTCTTTTAAATTGATCTGATTTCATAATGCTTTAGTGATATTGCTTGAAAGTACCATTGGCCTTTTTCAGTAAAGGTATACAGAGTGATCATTTGTGCCAGGTCCCCATGGATTCTGAATGAAGAGCAGTCTTTTGATTGTGTCTGTGTTCCATTTTGTGACTCTGGTTTAGAACTCCTCTTGTGAGGGTTCGGGGTGAGAAGACTTCTTGAAATCCCTACTCTGCCAGCTATGTGTGTATGTATTTACTCCTTCTATCCTATCTCCTCACCTTTGAGATGGTGACAACAGCTGTCTCAGAAGGTTGTCATGTGGCTCATGACAAGTGCAAGTGAAAGCAGTTACTGACATGGACTCCCACAGGGTTAGGGGTTCTTTAGCACCTGCTGATTTTCAGTAAGGCTGCTGTTTTGGAAGTCCAGTCTCGGCTGCCCTTGTGCACTGACAAACCCCTCAAGGAAACAGGTTTACTTCTTAATCCATTTGTGGTAT